ATCTCACCTCCAGACCATCTGAATGCTCATTGAAACGGTCTCTCCAGATTTAGTCGTTTAATGATTTCACACTCCTTTATAAAACTCATCTCTTCAATTAGAAATACTCAGCAGGATTGATGAACACCTGATAAAAAGTCTCTCTGTCTTTCTCTCTCTCTCTCTCTTCACATATCCTGCTGAGCATTTTTCTGTTTTCTTCCAGCATCTGCAGTATTTTGTTTTATATTATTCGAATAAGTCTCGACTTCACCCTCTTCAACACCTTGTCAACCTTCTCAACTGTGCTGCACGACACTTCAGCTGAAGCTCAATTATTGTCTCAACACACTTCGAACATAAAAAAGAAATCCTTGCATTTTAAAGCACCTTTTAGAATCTCAGGGTGTCCTGAAACACTTTACGGCCAATTAAATACTTCTATCGTGTAATAACTGATGTATTGTAGGAAACACAGTAGCAAATTGCACGCAGCAAGCTCTCACAAACATCATTGTGAAAATGATTAGATAATCTCTTGTTTTGTGATGTTGATCAAGGCATAACTATTAGCCAGGACATTGTGATTACACCCTGCCCTTCAAATTGTCAAATGAGATCTTCTATGTCTCATCTGGCACTCTCTCAGTACTACACTAGAGTCAGTCTAGATTTTTGTGCTTAAATCCTGCTCAACCAACAACCTTCTGACTTAAATGTGACATAGTTTCCTTGATTTTATAAACTATTTATAAAACCAAAGATCCAATTTACGGCCAAATTACTGGCAATTTGTCCTGATAACTTCAAAGATTTGTGTACATATTCTGAATATTGTATTCTGCACTCAGTTTAAAATTGTACATTTAGTTCATGTTGACTTTCCTCAATTTTTCTACCAAAATGTTAATTTCCCATATCTCTATTTTAATTCCTATCTGCCACACACTTGCTGATGCCACCAATCTGTCTCTGTGCTTCTGAATTCTGTTACTATCCTTCTTGTTTCATTATTACATTTCAAAATGTTGTTTCATTTCCATATTTTAAATTACAATTTGTAAGTTCCCAATCCAGGACGTTAATATAAATTAAAATGGTGGCTGGTTTTAATACTGTTCCCCAGAAACATAAGCATATGTAACTCTCCAGTGTGAAAAACAACCATTCACCACAAACGTTTTTATCATTTCTGCGTCCACTGTGCCTTTAACTCCCGGATTCTAATCGCGCTAACAAGTCCATTAGGTGGCGCTTCGCCTTTTGAAAGTTCAAATATATACTATCAGGCCTGCTCCCCACCTCCAGTCCCACTGAACTTCAGGTCAGGCATTTTTGGGAAATAAACCTGCTGGATGACAGGAATCGAGTGGGAACATGGGACAAAGGATTGATCTACAGAGAGCTAGCAATGAAATTCAATAAGTGCAAAGCCTTTTTTTTTCATTATTATTTATTCATTAGTGGGATGTGGGTGCTGCTGGCCCTGCTGGCCTATCCCTAGTTGCCCCTCATAAGGTGCTGGTGAGCTATCTTCTTGAGCTGCTGCAGTCCACTTGCTGTAGATTGACTCACAATGCTTTCAGGGAGGGAATTCCAGGATTTTGACCCAGCGACAGTGAAGGAACAGCAATATATTTCCAAGTCAGGATGATGAGTGGCTTGGAGGGGAACTTAGAGGTGGTGGTGTTCCCATATACCTGCTGCCCTTGTCCTTCTAGATGGAAGTGGTCGTGGGTTTGGAAGGTGCTGTCTGAGGATCTTTGGTGAATTTCTGCAGTGCATCTTGTAGATAGGACACACAGCTGCTACTAAGCGTCGTTGGTGGAGGGAGTGTATGCTTGTGGATGTAGTGCCAATCAAGCGGGCTGCTTTGTCCTGGATAGTGTCAAGCTTCTTGAGTGTTGTTGGGGCTGCACTCATCCAGGCAAGTGGGGAGTACTCCATCACACTCCTGACTTGTGCTTTGTAGATGGTGGACAGCTTTTATTGTGTCAGGAGGTGAATTACTTACTGCAGTATTTCTAGCCTCTGACCTGTTCTTGCAGACACTGTGTTTATGTAGTAATTCCAGTTGAGTTTCTGGTCAATTCTAACCCCCAGGATGTTGATGCTGGGGGATTCAGTGATGGTAACACCATTGAGTGTCAAGGAGCGGTGGTTAAATTATCTGTTATCTGTCATAGCCTGGTCATCACAGTGCTAAATGGGACAGACTTCGAACAGATCTGGCAACTTAAAACTGGGCATGCATGAGGCGTTGTGGGCTGTCAACAGCAGCAGAATTGTACTCCAGCACAATCTGTAACTTAATGGCCCAGTATATCCCCCACTCAAACATTGCAATCAAGCCAGGGGATCAACCCTGATTCAATGGAGAGTGCAGGAGGGCATGCCAGGAGCAGCACCAGGTTGAGATATTAACCTGAAGCTACCAAACAGGACTATCTGCATGCCAAACAGTGTAAGCAGCAAGTGATAGACAGAGCTAAATGATCCCACAACCAACAGATCAGATCTAAGCTCTGCAGTCCTGCCACATGCAGTTGTGAATGGTGGTGAACGATTAAACAACTCATTGGAGGGAGAGGGTCCACAAATATCCCCATCCTCAATGATGGATGAGCCAAACACATCAGTGCAAAAGATAAGTCTGAAGCTTTCACAGCAATCTTCAGCCAGAAGTACCAAGTGGATGTTCCATCTCGATCTTCTCCAGTGGTTCCCAGCATTACAGATACTAGTCTTCAGATAATTTGATTCACTCCACATGATATCAAGAAACGGTTGGAGACACTGGAGACAGCAAAGGCTATGGGCCCTGACAACATTCCGGCAATAGTACTGAAGACTTGTGCTCCAGAACTTGCTGCTCCCCTAGTCAAGCTGTTCCAGTACAATTACAGCACTGGCATCTACCCGACAATGTAGAAAATTGCCCAGGTATGTCCTGTACATAAAAAGCATGACAAGTCTAACCTGGCCAATTGCCCCATCAGTCTACTCTCAATCATCAGTAAAATGATGGAAGGTGTCATCGACAGTGCTATCAAGCAGCACCAGATCAGCGATAACCTGTACAGTGATGCCCAGTTTGGGTTCCGTCAGGGCCACTCAGCTCCTGATCTCATTACAGCCTTGGTTCTAACATGGACAAAAGAGCTGTACTCCAAAGGTGAGGTGAGAGTGACAGCCCTTGACATCAAGGGTGCATTCAACCAAGTGTGGCTTCAAGGAGCTCTAGCAAAACTGGAATCAATGGGTATCAGGGGGCAAATACTCTGGTGTTTGGAGTCATACCTGACACAAAGGAAGATGGTCATGGTTGTTGGAGGTCAGTCATCTCAGCTCCAGGACATCTCTGCAGGAGTTCCTCAGGGTAGTGTCCTAGGTCCAACCATCCTCAGCTGCTTCATCAATGACCTTCACTCCATCATAAGGTCAAAAGTGGGGATGTTCCCAATGATTAACAATGTTCAGCACCATTTGTGACTCCTCAGATACTGAAGTAGTCCGTGTTAAAATGCAACAAAATCTGGATAGTATTCAACCTTGGGCTGACAAGTGACAAGTAACATTCACATAACTTTCTGTGCCACATTGACTTGACATGTTCCCCTTAACTCTCTCAGGAAGTCAGCCATATACCATTAATAATGGTTAAAATATTGTCATGTCAGGAATCCTCTTGAGTGACTTTCCAATCCCATCTAATCACGGCAGAAAACTTTGGTTATTAATGCAGGATTCCTTCATTCACTTTGACCAGTGTTCTATCAAGTTGTTTCCAGTATTGTCAAGTGGTTTTATGGGACTTCCTACACACAAACTGAAACAATCAGTGTGATCTGGCTATTGAACCAGAGAGACTAACCCTGTCCTGCACTGAGCCACTCCACACACTCCACATTTCAGTAGAGGCAACCAGGCGATGAGGAGCAGGAAACTGGGTAGATAATTGCCAAGCAGTGGTGATGAGGCTGAGATTACTGCCTCACGTGTTACACCATTTGGTATCAGCTCACTTTATTACCGGATGCTGGAAGACAGAACACAGTATCAGCTCCAAGAGGTTGAATCCTGGGAGCACAATGAATAAGGGATAGATTTGCAACTAAAAGAAAACCTACAACTGTGTAGAAATCATGATTTATTGTCAAAAAATACAAAAAAAGTGTTGGTCCAGAGACAAATTGGGAGGGTGAGAATGCTGTCGAGTGACAGGTCTGAGACTCAGCACAATCCATCAGAAAATCAATCGGAATAGGTTTCACATTTTATACACTCCATTCTCCCAGTAGCCACCTTCCCCTTTGTTTCCAAACAGTCTGTACCCTGGCAGGAGACAATCAGTTACTTTTTGGCTTTTGTCAACAAGTAGCTTTCCAATAGAATTGCACTTGCAATTCAGGCCCAGTTGGCAATCTCATTGCTCCTTTGCCATTGGAGGGGCAGCCCATCTCAAAGAGGGCCCCCACCTCACTCACATTTCTCCTGGCAAGCTTGGGTGAGAATAAGGGGGCTGGGTGTGCTGGGGTAGGGATTGGATGTCACTAGAACTTGAGGATACATTCCCTATTGATGGAACTTCAATCCCAGCAACCTTGATGTAGTGGAAGGGTTTCCCATCCATTCCAATGGAGCTGCTGGCCCAGATTTCATTCATTTTTGTAGAACTGTATAGCATCCCGCAATGAGCCTTCAGATTGCCTGCGAGCTGCCACAACAGTGCCAACCTGCATCATATGGGGAGGTGATGGCCTAGTGGTATTATTGCTGGATTGTTAATCCAGAGACCCAGATAACATTCTGGGGGCCCAGGTTCGAATCCCGCCACAGTAGATGGTTGAATTTGAATTCAATAAAAATATCTGGAATTAGGAATCTAATGATTACAACGAATCCATTGTCAATTGTCAGGAAAAACCCATCTGGTTCATAATGCCCTTTAGGGAAGGAAACTGCCATCCTTACCTGGTCTGGCCTACATGTGACTCCAGACTCACAGCAATGTGGTTGACTCTGAACTGCCCTCTGGGCAATTAAGGATGGGCAATAAATGCTGTCTAGCCAGCGACGCCCTCATCTCGTTAATGAATAAAGGGAAAAAAAAACTGATCACTATCCTAGATTCCAGAGCTGTTGACATCAAAAACAATTGGATAGCAAGCTTGGAGGTGATCAATTAGGAGGATGCCAATTCTCCAAAATGACTGCTGATCTTCTCTCACTGTGGCAAAAGCAGCATTTATAATCCCCATTGGTTCCCACTTTGGAGACCTGATACCCATGGTTAAAAAAAAACCCAGGCCATCGTGTCACATGGGATGCTAACTCATTCTTTGTCCAGGTCCCATTAAATTCACAGAAGTCTGAACATGTCGCTATGTATTTAACTGAAGCTCTTCTTGTGTCAGTTGGAAACAATCTGGAGTGAATCAGGATTTAATCTGAATATGATTCGCTAGACAATTTGCCCCTATCTGTTTTTGTTTTGACATCCAGTGTTTTTTTAGGGTGAAAAGTAGGGAATTATGTAATGACTTAGTGCTCCCAGGTCTGGGAGGAGATTATTAACCAGGGGATTAAGTCCTAGTCACTGCTCAAGAACCCACATATGATGGTGCATGTGTGAGGGCTGGGAGTGAGGGCAGGATCAGACAATGAGTGAGGATAGAATCCAGCATAGAGTGAAGATAGGGGCTTAGCAGGGTGAAGCCAGGGCCCGAGCACATGGAGTGAGGCCAGGGGCTGAGCACAAGGAGTCAGGGCAAAGGCTGAGCATAGGGAGTCAGGGCAAAGGCTGAGCATAGGGAGTCAGGGCAGGCGCTGAGAACAGAGTGAGGGAAGAGACTGAGAAAGGGAGTGAGGGAAGGGACTTATCACATGGAGTAAGGGCAAGGGCTGAGCACAGAGAGTATGGCAGCAGCTTATCGCAAGGGATGAGGGCAAGGGCTGAGCACAGGTAGTGAGGGAGGGGCTTGTTACATGGAATAAGGGCAGGGGCTGAGCACAAGGAATGCAGTTAGAGGCTTATCACATGAAGTGAGGGCAGGGGTTTAGCACAGGGAGTAAGGACTGGAGTGTGGTTATAGAATGCATTGCCTAGAAAAGTGGAAACAGGTTCAACTGAGGTATTCAACAGGAAATGAAATGTGTTTTTATAGTAACAGTGTGCAGGGATACATGGAGAAGGTAGGAGATTGGTATTAGATAATAGAACCGATCTAGATAATAGACTTGGTGCAGGCATGATGGGCCAGTGTTCTCCAGCTGCACTGTAATAATTCTGAATGAGGATCACCTCCAAACCCCTGCTCAATTGTGCTATAACTGTGAAGTGGGAATGCTTGGAGTGGGTCACAGTTAATTTTTATTCACTAATGGAGAAAACGTGAGTTGAAGCTACATCCAGCTGCACACACCAGGGATTGAACCTGCATCCTATTGATTGTTGCAAATTGCACTATAAAGGAGCGGAATTATCCACTGAGCTAACAGTTTCTAATTCACTTTCTTTACATGATGTGGTTTTAAGAGGCCTGTCAATACAGGGGAGCTGGTGATAAGCAGAAAAAGTGGGAAATCTGTTATCTCTCATCACTTTTTCTATTCTGCTGCCTGTTTTCAGGCAGGGCAATGAGTGTGATGGTCTGACAGACACTTGTTCAGTGGGAGTGTGTACTCGATAATTGTACACATACAGACACAGTACCCAATGTGGCTGTCCAGCAGCTGGGTCTGAGCCCCACGTCACTTCCACCTCATGTTTCTATAATTGTCAAATTATTTCTCACACAAAGGCTCCAAACCTGATGACAGGATTTTACATGAAAGACAAAGCATTTCCCTCCTCAAAATAAGTCCCTGCCTAGAAACTATCAACTAATGCAGATAATGTAATAGGCTCTGCCAAGCTGAAAAAGTAATCAGATATCTGTTCAATATTAGCTTTCTTCTGAATTGTACTTAGGCTTTCCACACGTTGGTATTGTACAGTTTTAGGTTAGAAGGACAGCTATCCCTAAGTAGGGCCCTCAGTCACCTTAAATCTAGAGAACCAAACAGAGGCTCACTTGTGCCAAATTTTTCTCCAGCTTGTCACAACTCAAGAATCAAACTAATTATGGATCATTGTTCTGAAGAAAATTCCAGGAAAGGAAGTGGGAAATGAGAAAGAGCCAGTGAATGGTAGATGGGAAAGTCACAGTATCGGGAATCTCCACCAGTAGCTCCCGTTGTCTTGATCATCTGTCAGAGTCATGTGTACAACTGACGAGAAGAGGCACATCCAAAGAAATCATGGCCTATCAGCCGTGGATATCCTTCCTGTACCTTCACCTGCACAGGGTCAAACTTCCAGTAATACCTTCCACGGAGAAAGTAGGCATAACCTGTCAACACAGAGGTCAGAGTTAGAGTATGAAGAAGAAAGCCCCCAGTAACTTAACATATGAACCATGTGAAAGGCTAAGCTAGCTAGCAACATATGGGGGATGACTTTAACTCAGGAAACCAGGATTTAGAAGCAGTCTTGGTAGAGTTGAGGCATGATAAAGGTTAGTGGTCACTTGTGGAAGTTGATTTCAGCGCTCCCAACAGTAACCACATGGTAGGACAGGGTAACAAGGAAGAAATAATGGGAGCTTGTCAATCATGTATAGCAGTGTGGGGCAGCATGGTAGCTTAGCTGTTAGCACTGCTATCTCACAATGCCAGGGACCTGAGTTCAATTCTACCATTGGGCAACTGTCTGTGTGGAGTCTGCACGTTCTCCCTATGTCTGCGTGGGTTTCCTCTGAGTGCTTTGGTTTAATCCCACAGTCCAAAGAAGTGCAGTTTAGGTGGATTAGCAATGGGAAATGCAGGGTTATAGGGAAAGGGTAGAGATGAGATACTCTTTGGAGGGTTGATGTGGACTCAATGGACTTTCATTGAATATTATTGTCTTCGGGACAATTTCTTAGACCAGCATATTATGACACCAACCAGTGAACAGGCTACACTTAGAACTGGCCTAGAACAAGATTGGACTAATTAATGACTTCATAGTGAAAACGCCCCTGAAGAGCAGTGCCCATAGTGTGAATTTTTCATACACTTTAAGGGAGAGAAGTGTGGGTGCAAGACTACTGTTTTGAATTTAAATGGGGCAACAATGAGTACATGAAATCAGAGCTAGTGAAAGTGAACTGGCAGTTTAGTTTAAAGGTGGTGAATACAGATGAAGTGGCAAGCATTGAAGGGGATATTCCAGAAATTACAGACTAAATACATTTTAACAAATAAAAAAATTCTAAGGAATGGATCCACCATCTGTGGTTAACTAAAAAAGTCTAAGGCAGTATCAAATTCAAAGAAGACATAGAATTATGCAAGGATTGGTGACAGGTCCGAAGGCTGGACAGAATATAAAAATAACAGAATTACTAAAAGATTAAAAAGGATGGAAAAATTAGATTACAAGAGAAAGCTAGCCAAAAATATAAAAACAGATAGGAAAAGAAAAGAGTTAACAAAGTAAGTGTTGATCGCATGAAAAAAGAGCCTAGGAATTAATAATGGAGAACAAAGAGATGGCAGAAGAATTGAACAGATATTTGGCATTGATCTGTACAAGAGAGGACATAAGCAGCATCCTGGAAATAACTCTAAACCAGGAACTGAAAAGGGGTGAAAGGGGAGGAGGGTCAGTGTAGGCAGAGCCACACCCACGTGGGAATCTGTGTGGGCAGAGCCACACCCACATGGGAATCTGTGTGGGCAGAACCACTTCTACTGTTGAGGTGGGGGTATGGGTGAAAGGGGAGGAAGGACTATGTGGGCATAGCCACACCCATATGGTGGTTCAGTTGTATGTTAGGCTTGGATCCCTACAGCAATTGGCACCCCAACTACATTCTGGGTTGGACCCAACTGATGCTGCTCACCATGCATGTCCTGGAATGCCCCATCGATGTTGGCAGGAATACCTCGCCAGTCATTAGTACTGCGCGGGTAGACACTGTCCAAAGCATTTTGGTTCATGTCGAATCGCCAGTAATTATTTCCTTTAAAGAAATAGATCTTCCTCTTTTCTTCCAAGCCCCACATCAGAGCAGCCTGGATATCCACTGCAGATAGTCCCAACTCGGAGATTAACTTGGGCCCCAAGACTTGATTCTCTCCATCATAGATCCAGTAATTGGAACCTGGAAGAAAATAGAGTCATAGAATCATACAGCCTGGAAACAGGCCATTCAGTCCAACTCATCCATGCCGACCAGATTTCCCAACCTAAACTAGTCCCACTTGCCTGCATTTGGCTCATATCTCTCTAAAGCTTTCCCATTCATGTACCTGTCCAAATGTATTTTAAATGCTGTAACTGTATCTGCATCTACCATTTCTTCTGGCAGTTCATTCCACACATGAACAACGTTGTCTGTGATAAAGTTGCCCCTCATGTCCCTTTTAAATCTTTCTCCTTAAAAATATGTCATCTAGTTTTGAACTCCCCGACCCTAGATTAAATGCTTTTGCTATTCACCTTACCTATGCCCCTCATGATTTTATAAACCTTCATAAGGTCACCCTCCAACCTCCTCCTTCAGTGAAAAAAGTGCCAGCCTATTCAGCCTCTCCTTGTAACTCAAACCCTCCATTCCTGGCAACATCCTGGTAAATCTTGTTAAATGATGGGCGGCACAGTGGCTCAGTGGTTAGTACTGCTGCCTCACAGCACCAGGAATCCGGATTCGATTCCACCCTTGGACGACTGTCTGTGTGGAGTTTGCACGTTCTCCTTGTGTCTGTGTGGGTTTCCCCTGGGTGCTCTGGTTTCCTCCCACAGCCCAAAGATGTGCAGGTTGGGTGGATTGGCCATGGGAAATTGTCCTGTAGTATTCAGGGATGTGTCAGGGTTATAGGGGGATGGGTCTGTGTGGGATGCTCTGAGGGTCAGTGTGGACTTGTTGGGCCACAGGGCCTGTTTCCACACTGTAGGGATTCTATGATGATGATCTTTTTGAACCCTCTCCAATTTAGTAATATCCTTTCTATCATAGGGCGACCAAACATAGTGCTGACCATCATGGGAGAAGAACATTTTGGGAAACATAACAAAGATCAGGTCACCGGGATAAACATGGCCTTTTCATTATACAACGCACCCGAGATTGACAGAGACAGCGAGTCATAACATTGCAGACCATTTGACCCATTGAGTCCATGCCAGCTCTCCATGAAGCAATCCAGCCAATCTCATGGGTCTAGGCCCGAAACGTCAGCCTTCCTGCTCCTATGATGCTGCTTGGCCTGCTGTGTTCATCCAGCTCTACACCTTGTAATCTCATTCATCTGCTATATTCACAAAGCCATGCAAATTTGTTACCTTCAAGAGTCCATTGAATTTTCTTTTATCGTGATTGTCTCCACTTCCACCACTCTGGTAGGAAGTAAGTTCCACATTGTACCACTCACTACATAAAATGTTCTCCCTGACATTCTCTCTGCATCTCTTGCCTGAACATTAAACCTGTGTTCTCTAGTCATTAAACTATCTGTCAATGTGACCATTTTTCCTTGTATAACTTATCTAAATCTGTCATTGTAGTGATTGTAGAGGCCAGCCAGGTAAATCTTATAGATTATGAGTTCCCTGATTGGACCAGGCTAACAGTACCAATCCAGGAGCCCTGGCTGATAGATATAAACAAGGAGTGCCAGAGATTCTGTTCACTCTGGAAGCTAGCTCTGAGGAAGCTGGACCAGTGTCAAATACTATGCACATGTAAATAAAGGGTGTCTTGGTGACGGGATGCCAGTGTCTCTGGAGTTATTTCAGTTATCGTCCTGTATATTGTCAACAAATCTCCCCTCACTCTTCTTTGCTCCAAGCAGAATTATATTAGCTTCTCTAACCTCACCTCGTAGCTAAAATTCCTTTCATCCCTGGAACCATACTGGTAAATTTCCTCTACTTCCTGTCAAGAATCCTTGCCTAAAACGTCTGGTTAGTACATCTGCCAAAAAAAAGTCTCCAAGTTGGCGGCAGAGTAGGACTCCTGAGTTAGAGCTGATCTACTTTGTCCATTTCTTTTCTTTTTTCTCTCTATTATCGCATTTTTTTCTTTTTTCCTCCTGTCCTTGGGTGGCATTGGCTATGTCCGGGGTGAAATCCAGCACGGGCTCTTGGCCTCAATGTGGACCCGAACTCCCAACCTCCCAATCTCAACGGGGTCTCGAACTCCTGACCTCAATGCGGTCTCAAACACCTGACCTCAACGTGGTCTCAAACTCCCAGCCTCAGCGTGGACTTGACTCCTGGCACTCCTGGCCTCAAGGTGAAACCTGCTACAGGCTGGGTTGGAAGGACTTTTATTCTGAAGTCTTATTTCACTTTTTCTAATTTATTGCTGGGCTTTTTATTTCTTTAGTTTTCTATTTTTTTTCCCCTGCGAATCTGTGCTTATAAATCTGTATCTAGGTACCTTGGCACCTAAGTTGGCGCCGTAAGTGGTGAATTGTAAACTTTTCACTCAATTCGTGAGTAATATGTGACAATAAAGCTAATTCTTGTAATTCTTGGACGCAATGCCTAAAGTACAACATGACTTCCTTGTTTTCGTATTTAATCCTGTAACTATTAAGCTGAAGATCCCAAATGTTTTGCTAATCTCTCTCTCAAGATGCCTTACCATTTTCAGAGATTGATTTCCCTCTTCCCCATCCCTTTGTCCTTGCACACTCTTTTGAACTTTACTATGGAATCCACATCACCTATCCCTATCTTCCATGCCGAAATATATGACCTTACAACTCTCTGTATCAAATTAGTAGTAAATTAGTAAATTATCATAGAACATAGTTCAGTACAGCACAAGAATGGGCCCTTCAGACCACGATGTTGTGCCAGACATGATGCTAAATTAAACTAATCTCTTCTGCCTGCCCTTGATTCATATCCCACCATTCCTTGCATATTCAAGTGCTTACCTAAAAGTCCCTTAAACGTCTCTATAGTGTCTGCCTCTACCACAACCCCTGGCAGCGTGTCCCAGACTCCAATGACTCTCTGTAAAAAACTTGCCCCTCACATCTCCTTTTGAACTTTTCCCCCTCACTTTAAATGCATGCCTCCTACTTTTAGACATTTCAACTCTTGGAATAAGGTTCTGACCGTCAACCCTGTCTTTGCATCTCATAATTTTATAGACTTCTATCAAGTCTCCTCTCAGTCTCCGCTGCTGCAGAGAAAAATAACCCACGTTTTTCTAGCCTCTCCTTATAGCTCATACCCTCTAATCCAGGCATCATCCTTGTAAACCTCTTCTGCACCCTCTCCAAAGCCTCCACATCCTTCCTTTAATATGGTGACCAGAATTGAACACAATACTCCAGGTGTGGCCTAACCAAAGGCTTATAAAGTTGCAACATGACTCTCATGACTCTTCTACTCAATTCCCTGACCAATAAAGGCAAGCATGCCATATGCCTTCTTTACCACTCTATCTACTTGCATGGCCACTTTCAGGAGGAATCAAGGGAAAGGGAAGGAAAGTGGATGTGAGGAATTTTGGATTGGCCGTGATCCTTTGGAATGGCAGCGTAGGCTCAAGTAGCTGAATGGCCTACTCCTGTTCCTATTTCTTATGGTCTAAATTCTATTTGCCACCCTCTGTCCATTCTGCTGGCCTACTCCTGTATCATGTTGCAGTCAATTGATATCATCCCCATTGTTTCCACTCATCAAGGTTTGGTGTTACCAACAATTTTTTTAGATTTTACTCTGAATTCCAAAATCTAAGTCATTGATATTTCTACCAGAAAAGCAGTGATCCTTGCACTGACTGTACTGCCAATCATCCTCCTGTCATCAACAACAACATCCTATTGAATTTCATTCATCAATCTTCACTAATACTTCATCAAAATATTAATTTAGTCAAGCATAAGTTGCCTTTACAAACCCAGGTCAGTTCAAATTAGGCTGCAGATCAATCAGAATCTTGTTGCATGGCAGACAGATCCAAGGCACTCTCTTCCTATGCTCTGTAATGGTCATTGATGGACAGAAGGGTCAGTATTGATCACTATTGGAATAGCAGAGACATCATGGGCCAGTTTCATCGCTGTGTGACTTTTTGAGTTTATGCATTTGGTTGTTCTTTTTGAATAGCCTGCAACAGACCTGACTAGGTAATTAGGATCTTTGGAATGAAGCATGCATAGTTTTTTTCTTTAATTCGTTCACAGGATGAGGGTGTTGCTTGGTTAGACTAGTATTTATTGCCCATTTCTAATTACCCAGAAAACAGTTATGAGCCAACCACATTGGTGTGAGTCTGGTGTCATATGTAGGCCAGACCAGGCGAGGACGGCAAAACATTACTGAACCAGATGGGTTTTTCATGGAATCATAGAATTCCCACAGTGTGGTAACAGGCCATTCAACCCAACAGGTCCACACTGACTCTCCGAAGAGCATCTCACCCAGACTCACCCCCTACCCTATTCCTGTAACCCTGGACTGCCCATGGCTAATCCACCTAATTTACACATCCCTGGACACAATGGGCAATTTAGCATGGCCAATCCACCTAACCTGCACATCTTTGAACTGTGGGAGGAAACTGGAGCACCCAGAGGAAACCCACACAAACACGGGGAGAATGTGCAAACTCCACACAGGCAGTCGCCTGAGGCTGGAATGAAACCCAGGTCACTGGCTCCGTGAGGCAACGGTGCTAACCACTGAGCTACCATTGCCACCGAGCAGGGAAAATCCCAAGCAGGGATTTTCCAATAATTGACAATGGTTTCATGGCCATCATTAGACTCTCAATTCCAGACATTTCCTATTGAATTCGAACTTCACCATCTGCTAGGGTGGGATTCGAACCTGGGTCCCCAGAACATTACCTGGGTCTCCAGATTAATATTCTAATGGTAATGCCACCAAGCCGATGCCTTCCCCCTACAAATGTAAACCCCACATGCTGGTTCATGAAAGCCACATCAGGATCCAACAAGGGTGACAGCAACTTGTTTTAGATATTTAAAGAGAGTTAAAGGGACTTCAGTGGGATGGTTAATGCTTCATGAGCTTTTCCTCTTCTTTTCTATCTCCTCTGTCATCCAGGGAGCTCTGGATTTGTTTGTCCTACTTTTCCCTTTTGAGGGAATATACCTTGACTTATACCCAAAAAGT